GCCGCTGATGTCCCAGGGCGGGCCTGGGAAGGTGGGAGCTGAGCCCCCACCCGCGTCTGCCCAGAGCGTGGGGCGAGGGGGATGGGGAGATGGCAGGAGGCCTCCCCGCCTCTGTGCTCAGTCCTGCAGGTCCTGACTCCTGCCCTAGGCTGGCCCGTGTCAGTCCCTGTCACAGTCACCCCAGCGTGTGCTGCCGTGTCCTGCACAGCAGCCCCAGCCAGCTCTGCAGCAGCCGGGTCTTGCCGAGCTCATCTGCCTGCCTTCATCCTGCGAGGCCAGAGGGGCCTACGCGTGCCCATCAGAACCTCAGGTCTCCTCTGACAGCGGTGACGGTGGCACTCAGGCCATAGCAGGCCTCGCCGCCCAGCTCTGGGCCCCTGGACACCGCGTGGCCAATGAGAGGAAGAGCAAGGCTGGAAGGGAGGCCCGCGAGCCGTGTCAGGCCTGTGCGAGGGGCGGGAGCTCTGGTTGTGACCAAAGTGGGTGACACCAAGATATGGTCAAGCCAGAAGGTTGCTGTGGCACCAGGGAGGGAAGAGGGCCACGCCAACAGCTCCTAGTTCACGGCGGGCACCGGGCCCAGGTGAGCCGCAGATACTCCACACTGCCACTGCCTTGCCTTCCAGAGTGCGGGGTGTGCTGGTCAGAGGGGAGGCTGTCGCCTTCGGTCCACTCCGCTGTAGCCCTCGACATACACCCACTCACGCAGCCACCTCCCCACCCACTACCGAGCCCGGGCAGGCCACACAGCAGGTCCACACACGTGTGCTCAGAACACAGCCAGCCCTTGCCCTCCAGCATTACCAGGGGGCCCCCCACCCCCGCCTCTGGGCTCAGGTGTCAGGCTCGGGAAGCCTGAAGGCCTGAGGGTGGCCAGGGACCTGGTCTAGGCCTCCATGCCCCAAATCTTCCACGACTCCCACCAGGGTCCCTCCAGGGCCCAGGGCCCCACCATGGGCCCCAGCGCAGCCGCCAGCCTGGCCTGGCTCCCTGCTGCCCCTGGCGGTTCACTCCAGCATTGCCACAGGGGTCCCTGGAACGCGGGTCTGGAGGGCCCGGCATCCACACGTGTCTCTGTGCAGATGGGGTGTCTGCAGCAGGAGGTCTCCGCAGACCCAAGTCCCAAATGCCGGGCTGACTCCCGTTCCCAGGTGAGCCCAGCCCAGCCGCAAGGAGCCTCCCTAGGGCGCATGCAGTGGCCAAGGGGCCAGGAGATGGGTGGCTGGGTACTGTCTCAGAGGCCAGTCCAGCCCGCAGAGCCACGAGTGACATCACACTCAACTGAGTTATGCCTTGGCCTCCTCCTCAGGCCACTGCCGCTCCCCACCTTGCTGCCTGCCCCCACCCTTTGGGAGGGGAACCTGATCGTGAGCACTTGAGGGGACTGCAGAGACTGAGGCCAGGTGAGGGACCTGGCAAGGACACACAGTGGCAGGTGCCTGAGGGGGTGGTGCGCGTGGTGACCACTCCTGGGCAAGCAGGCGCTGTCTGCTCACAGGAAGTTGGGATGTTGACCTGGAGAAGCCGGGCGAGCTGGCTGAGCCCGGCTCTGCACCCCTGGCCACTTTCCCCCGGGCTGAACGGGGCGGTGCACAGCCCCGCGGGGGCGGCCTTGGGGCTCCTAGCTGGCCGTGGGGGAGGCAGGGACGTCCGGGCCCTGGTTGTGGGCAGGCCCTGGTCTGGCTGAGCAGAGCTCTGGCTCTGGAAGGTCCCAGAGACCAGTGGAGCGTGACCACGTGGCCACTGCTGCAGCTCTGGGCCTGAGGCTGGGGCGGGTGTGGCAGGGAGCCGCAGCCCACAGGGGCCCAAGCCAGGTTCCCTGCAGCCCCCACTGCTTGGACCGTCGCTCGTGGGCCCTTAGGCCAGTGCCCTCCGTCTGACCTGTTTTCTCACCCACTCTGCTGTGAGGTGCCACCCTGGGCATGCCAGGACAGGCATGTCGGTGCCACCCACCGTCCCTCCTGGAGGGGGCTGAGCCACTCTGGCTTCCAGCATCTGCCTCTGGGGGGGCCGCGAACGCCTGGCCTGGCACCTGGCGGCCTCACCGGGCCGTCTGCCCCAGCTGTGTGGCTGTGTTGTGGTGAGCTGTGCTGACAGTGCCGGCTTGGCCATGCCAGCTCTGTCCACAAGGCTGAGCTGGTGCCCAAGCAGCCCTGCTGCCCACCCCGCCCTCGCCCCCAGTCTCTTACCTGGGCTGCCCGTCCTGGGACACAGGGCCTGCCGTATAGCACCGAGGGCACTGGGTCGTGGCACCACGGGGCCCTGGGGATGCTTATGCTCAGTCCAGGGCCGACGGGGGGCCTGGGTGGAGGGCAGGATGGGCCCTCCCCAAAGTGCGTCTCCTGACCTCGTGGGGCCTGGAAGGCAGAGGAGCAGCCGGGCCGGGGGTCCTGAAGCCGCCTGTCCCTCAGAGGGTTCAGGCTGTTCCAGCTGCTTCTACCCTGGGAAGGGGTGGGAGGCCGCGGGGCTCATGTGACCAGCAGGCTGGGGAGGCGGGCGCGGGGGGAGGCCCCAGCGGCCTGCAGGGGTGAGGCAGCCAGCTGTGTCCCCTGATAGCTGTGGCCAGGCTGCAGCTGCACCTCGACTTCCCCGCAGGAACCATCTGGGCCGCCTGCCCCGCCCTGCCTCACTGCCATTCCGGTTAACTTCCGACACAGACCCTGCCCGGCCTGGTGCCTGGTGCCGTCCCCATCCTGGCTGCTGCAGCCCTGTCTCATCGGCTCAGTGGGCAGCTCCCAGGACAGTCCGCAGTCCTGCCTGCCAGCCCAGCCCTGGCCCCTCCTTCAGTGGGGTGGCCCGGGGTGCCCCCAGCCATAGCCCCTCTGTCTCCACCAGGGTTTGCCCAGTGTCCCTAGGACAGCCCCATGCCCGTGAGCCAGATCCTAGGGTCAGTCCCTGGTGGCCTGGGGACCTGCCTCCCTTCCCCTTGGCCTGGGCCTGGCTGCCCACCAACCCTCAGAGGGCCTCCCACCGGGCCAGGCAAGGACACCCCCTCTGCGTGTGGCCACCCCAGGGAGCCCTGAAGAGACTCCAAGCCCTTTTGTCCAAGAGCCTACACTGAACTTGCCCTTGTGCCAGCAGCCGGGGGTACTGGGGCACAGGCGTGGTACCACTCCCCACCCTGGAGACTCAGGAAGCCACCTCAGAACCTGGGACCCTTCCTGTGACCACTCAGATCAGATGGGGGCATCTGGGGCCCCTCTACCTACCTGTGCCCAGCAGAGAGGGCAGGAGGCTCGGGGTGCAGACAGGATGGGGGGTGGGCCTGCAGGCCAAGCCCGCCCCGGCCGCCCCGGTCCATCTCTCCGCTTTCTTTTCTCCTTTCTTCTAGAGAGATTTTTGCTGTAGGGTGCGTGTACTCTCCAGACAGAGGGACAGAAAGCGAGAAATCACGCCCCGGGGGGATGGCTACGCCGCAATCCCTTCTCCTCCATTCTCCTCTTGGGAGCTCAGGCACACACACACACGCGCCCGGCGTGAGTTTTAAGCCACCGAGTCCGGGACGTGAACTGCGGTCGACTACGTGGTAACTGCTCCGCCATCTGCTGGTCCCCTGGCTGGCTTTCCTTCAGCGACTCCACGATGCCTGCTCACAGAGGACAGGGCCAGCGAGCGCGAGTGCCCTGCTCGACTCACACGCGGGCAGGGGTCTGTGTCGGGTTGGAACACACGCTCTGTGGGCCGGCAGGGGTCGTGGTGGTTAAAGACGCCGGACTCCCACATGGCTAACACCGCTTGGAGTCTGGCAGCTTGCTTTCTCTGGTCAAATTAAAACAAATAATAATAAATAAAGTTAAATAAAATAATTCTTTAAAAATATAGAATGCACGCTCCTGGGCGAGGCTCCCTGAGGCGGGCTCTGGCCTCAGGCCTCACTGGCCCCTGGCATTAGGGAGGAGAGAGTGTCGCTGTGACCCAGGGGCTGTCCACGGTGTCACCGTCACCCTCACATCCCTGTGTGTTCCCTGAACTCTGACTCGTGGGGACTCAGAGTGGATCTCTGCAGCCCCAACTTCTCAGTCTCCTGGGAAACCACAGGTGGGCCCGGTCGGCTCCCAGACCTTGAGGGGAGAGCAGAGTGTGCTTAGGGCTCACGCTCGTTTGGGTCTCGGTGCCGGGAGGCTGGGGGCACTGGAGTGCCATCACATCCTGCCCCGCGCGTGGCAGGCTCCTCACTCCGGGGCGTGAGGGTCGTGGGGTACAGGCAACAGGCCAGGGCCCTGGGCGGGGCAGCCCGCAGCTCTACAGGCAGGTGTTCGGGGCTTGCACCTGCACCTCCGTGGGACACTTCCCCTTCTGGGAGGGACCCCTGCCGCTCGTCCCAGCCAGTTTCTAATCAGCAGGACCTACAGAGGTGAGGTTAGAGAGAGAAGAAAGCTGCCCACAAGGAGGGACCACCTGCAGGCTGCTCACCACTCTCCACCCTCCGGAGCAGGCAGTTGGTGCTGTGGGGAGGCAGACGTTAGCTGTGGCTTGCGGAGCTGGGTGGCTGGAGATAAGGGCTGGGGAGGAAGTGGCTGTGGGGTCCCTCCAGAGACGCCGTCTGGGCTGCTCCCAGCCTCCCTCTACACTTCTCCTGGGCCCAGGACAATGGCAGCAGTGGGGGAGTACTCAGGCAGGGGCCCTGAGCTGGCTTACCTCCACGGCCAGACAGGGAGGGCAGCAGGGCGGAGTCGGGTGGGGGAGGCCCTCATGCATGCGTGTTGCCTTTGTGTGCAGGAGCCACCCCTGCCGCGACTGCTGGGCTTGTACAGACAGACGGACAGGTGGGCGGCTAGGAACCGCGCGCTCTGCATGTCTCTGGCCAGTCCATGTCACAGAGGCAGGAGGGGCCCACAGGGTCGTGGGCTTGTCACCAAGCCGCAAGTCCCCAGGCAGCCCCAGAGGGCAGGCAGGTAACTCGGGAAGCCCAGATGAGCAGAGCCGAGGCCGTCCCAGGTGCGGAGACCTGCCCCGGGTGCCCCATGCAGCTGAGGCCGGCTGTCTGTCCTTCTGCTACGACTGAACAGCTCGAACAGGGCCCTTTGGGGTAACTGAGCTTACAGGGTCGGGGCACCCGGACTGAGGCGCGGCCCTGCTGAGGGCTCCCCCCCCCCCACATGTGTGTGTGGGACCTGACTGAGCAGGGAGGGCCGCGTCCAACCGCCTGCCCACCAAGGAGGCAGGGGTGCTTCTGGCGGCCGACCTGGGGAGCGACACTCAGAGTGGGGAGCTGCACGTGCAGTGGGCCTTGGCCCTGAATGCCGCGGGACCCTGGGTCTGAGGCCCTGCCACAGCGAGGACCACCGAGCCGCTGAAGGTCAAGCTGCCTGGGCCAGAGACATGTGCCCGAAACAGGCTGCACTGCCGGGTTGAGGCGGTCCTCGCCGTCCCGAGGCTGTGGACCCCTGTAGCACCTGCTGACACTGAAGGGCCCCTCCTCAGCGACATCTTTGGACACATAAGTAATTAGCAGGCAAGGAAGAAGGCGCACTCGATTAATGCCGTCACCAAAACGTCCCCTGTGCCAAAACAGGCAGGCGGTGCCTCGTCACAAGATGTGAGTCGGGCAGCGTGTGTGACCCTGCGCTCCGCCACCACACCTGGGACATGCCAAAGGCAGGCTTCCCCCACCATCTCCTGCCGCATAGTCAGAGCCACCGCCCACCTGGATCCCAGATCACAGACCCTGGTGCAGAGGAGTGTCGCTCTGGCTCCCCACCCCAGCCCCCCGCCTCCTCAGCTCCCAGGAGTCTCCCATGGCAGCCAGGCCCTGGCGAGGGTTCGAAGCAGAGGCCAGGCCAACTCCAGGGCTATCTGTCCTTCCTTAACCTCTCCGGGCCTGTCTCCTGAGGGCGAGAGTGCCCCCGTGGGTGGGGAGGCTGAGTGCGAGGGCTCTGCTGGCCAGGAGTGGGTGGAGCGGGGCTGGCTTTGGAGGGCAGCGCTGGGCAAGCACCCCCCACCTTCTGACTTCCACACTCAGGGGATGGTGGCCCCCTGAGCTGTCGGGCTAGCTCAGAGACGGGGCCTGGCCCAGGCTGACTGTCCCAAGGACATGAGGGTGTCTAGGCCCGGCTGCCCGTGAAGGTCTCAGGAGCCTAGGTGCCCCCAGGCCAGGGAGGCTGCCCAGTGGCCCTGGCTAGATGCAGGAGTGCAGGAGCCCCCGGCCCGTCTGGTGGTGGAGCAGAGCCGGCTCACCATGTCCTCAGCCGCACCCTGCCTGGCTTGTGGGGCACAGCGGGACCGGGGCAGAGCCAGGCAGGGGGAGTCCTACGGCCAGGGACTCTCCGAGCTCTCTGGCCTGGCCCCAGTTGGCTTGCTTTGTGCCTTGTCTCCCAGGCTCCGAGATGGGACAAGCTGCCTGTCACGGGGCCAGTGCCTGAGGGGGGTGCCTGGACCTGGGGCCCAGGCTGGACCCTGCTCAGATCTGTCCCCCCCAAGGGCAGCCGGGCGGGCAGCCTCCTGCACAAACAGGGAGCAGCTCTCCCGCCCACCTTCTGTCCTTCTGTCCTCGCCTCCCTGGAGACTTGCAACTGGCCCGCCTGCCCGTTCTACAAGACAGGACCCAGAGCCTCCACCCTGCATGGGGCGGCCTGGGCTCTGGGCGGCATCCACTTGGCCATGAGGGGGAAGTCCCTCCCGAGGACACTTTCCCTTTAAGGAGGCCCAGGGTGGAGGGCTGCCGGTGGAGGGCTGAGCAGCACGGTGCCCCGGGGCTGGTCTGGCACCTGGTCTCTCTCTGACTCAGGGCATCACAGACCCCTGTGGCCGTGTGGGCACCCAGCCCAGCCTCACTCAGGCCCAACCTTGCTTCCCGAGCCCATGAGCTTGACCGGCCCCGGGCTCAGTCTGGTGAGGACTGACTGGGACCCCCCACGCACAGAGGGCACCGTCCCCACCCTCCCTCGTGCTGCAGCAGCTTGTAAGGGGGGGACTGGCTCTGGCCCACCCACCAGTGTCCGTGACTGTTCTAGAACCTTCCGCACATGTGGCCGGGCCTGTGAGTGGACGGCCAGCTGTTGGCAGTGTCAGCAGTAAGCCAGGCGGGGGCGGCGACAGGCTTGGCCCTGGTGGGCCCTGTGGCAGGAGGGCGGGGGACAGGTGGGCGGGCGGCAGGTGGGCCCTGCGGAAGTTGGGTGGTTGGCAGGTGGGCCCTGTGGCAGGTGGGCGGTCAGCAGGTGGGCGGCAGGTGGGCGGCAGGTGGGCGGCAGGTGGGCGGCAGGTGGGCGGCAGGTGGGCGGCAGGTGGGCGGCAGGTGGGCGGCAGGTGGGCGGCAGGTGGGCGGCAGGTGGGCGGCAGGTGGGCGGCAGGTGGGCGGCAGGTGGGCGGCAGGTGGGCGGCAGGTGGGCGGCAGGTGGGCGGCAGGTGGGCGGCAGGTGGGCGGCAGGTGGGCGGCAGGTGGGCGGCAGGTGGGCGGCAGGTGGGCGGCAGGTGGGCGGCAGGTGGGCGGCAGGTGGGCGGCAGGTGGGCGGCAGGTGGGCGGCAGGTGGGCGGCAGGTGGGCGGCAGGTGGGCGGCAGGTGGGCGGCAGGTGGGCGGCAGGTGGGCGGCAGGTGGGCGGCAGGTGGGCGGCAGGTGGGCGGCAGGTGGGCGGCAGGTGGGCGGCAGGTGGGCGGCAGGTGGGCGGCAGGTGGGCGGCAGGTGGGCGGCAGGTGGGCGGCAGGTGGGCGGCAGGTGGGCGGCAGGTGGGCGGCAGGTGGGCGGCAGGTGGGCGGCAGGTGGGCGGCAGGTGGGCGGCAGGTGGGCGGCAGGTGGGCGGCAGGTGGGCGGCAGGTGGGCGGCAGGTGGGCGGCAGGTGGGCGGCAGGTGGGCGGCAGGTGGGCGGCAGGTGGGCGGCAGGTGGGCGGCAGGTGGGCGGCAGGTGGGCAGCAGGTGGGTGGCAGGTGGGCCGCCCTGCGCTCCAACTTCTGGCGACAACTGTGCACAGCTCGGCCCCCTCCCGCCTGCTGCTGCTCAGCTGGGGTCCCAGGGCCACGAGGGCCCGGCCAGGCACACAGGAGGCGTGGGATGGCCCTGGGTTGGGCCCTGCTGTGTGGGCCTGCCCCAGGGCGCGTCCACACCGCAGCCTAGGAAGACCGTGGGGCCGTGTGGAAGGGGGCTGGCCTGTGCCCTGGTGGACGCTTTCAGATTTTTCATTGAGTTTAAAACTTAAGCTTCTGTGAACATCTTCTCAGGCACATGCACCTCGGGAATAGGCGTCCCGGCCCACTCCAGCTGCACATACATTTATTTCGATTTTTGTCAGAAGGTGTATGTGCTCACTGGGAAGAGAGACAGAGATGGAAAGTGAGAGGTCAGCCCCTGGGGGCTGGCCGCACCACAGCCCTCCCCGCAGTCTCTTGTTGGGATTTTGGACTCGCACATGCGCTCGGCGTGATTTTCAAGCTGCCAGGTGTGGACTTGGCCCGCAGCCGACCGTGTGGGAGCCCAGCGCCTTAAGCGCCACGCCACCTGCTGGCCCCACTGTCTGGGGCTCTGAGCACCCTTCCTCTTCTCGAGAAGCCAGGACCTGGGCTGCTGTGCTGTGCGGCTGATGTGCGGCGTCAGCGGGGGCGGAGGGACCCTTCCGGGTCAGCCCAACCCCGGGCTCCCGGCGTCCCGGCCCAGTCACGTGGGTGTGGCATGAGGTCTGAGCTCCTGCCGGGAGCTTGCTGCTGGTCTGTGCCCAGGAGGACAGGAGGTAGACAGACACAGCTCAGGAGGGCTTGGGTTGGGGTCCTCTGAGGAGTGACGGGCACGCGGGGCCTCCATGGGAGCAGAGCCAGTGGCAGGTGCCAAAGCCCCAGGCAGAGCGCCCGGGCCCTGGAGCCCAGCCTGTCCCACTTGGGCCACACAGGGGCCTCGGGCCAGGCAGACTTGGTCATGAGACTGTCCTCAGCTCCGGGGAGGCGACGACTGGGCGCCGGGCTCTGGGTGGCCAGGGTGGCTCTGGCTGGCTTGAGGCAGAAACGCAGCACTCGGGAGACATGGCAGACATAAATATTTCCGGCCGCGAGAGCAGCTGGAAGACGAGGCGTGCTTGGAGCGTCTCCGTGGGAGCCGGGCGTCCGGCCACATGGCTGCTTGCAAGCTGCTATCTCTCCGCGTGCAGGGAGGCGACGTGCACAGTCCCTGGGGCCCTGGGGCCTGAGTCCTGCCTCCCTCCCTCCTCCGCTGTGGCTGGACCGTGCCCGCTGCCTGGCCCACGAGGATGAGGTGCGCCCGCGACACCGCGGTGTGGACGGCAGCCCTGTTTCCTGTAGCTCACTGCTGCTTCAGCCCAGGGAATCCCTTTGGCGGTGCGGGGTGGACCAGATGGCCGTCGCAGGACTGTCCTCTCAGGGGACCTCCTGGCCACTTGCACAAATTCAGCTTCCAGCCTTCTCCTCTGGCTGAGACGGAGCCTCCTCCAGCAGACCCCAGAGGACGGAAGCAGAGCCTCGGACTGGTGTGGCAAACGCTCCCACTCAAGAACACTCACTGCTCCCCATCTCCCGCCAGCTCAGCACTCACGGCCTTCTTGGTGTGTCCCCAGAACTGTGGCTTGTGGGAGTTCTTGTCACCCTGTCCCTGGAGCCCCGTCTCCTCCCACGCAGCCCAGCCTAGGCCTCCTTTTCTGGCCAGGGAGGCCACTGGACGAGCTTGCCACACCTGAGATGGCCCAGTGAGGGGACTCCAGAGGGCCAAGCTGAGGGAGCTGTGGGGCCCACTCACTTTCAAGTGGCGTTTCAAAGGTTCTGGTGAAGGTTCCAGGGGACGCCCAGGTCCAGGTTAGGTGCGGCATGTCAGGGCATCGTCAGGGACTCAGACTGTCCATTCCTGGGCTCTGCCACACGTACTGGTTCCCAGTCTTCTGGCTTGTCACCTCATCGCTCCAGGATGGCTGCTGTAGCTCCAACTCTCACAGGTTCAAGTCATTGCACTTAAGGAAGGAAGAAAATCGGCCAGGGAGGAAAATCTCTCCTAGAATCCTCTGGACAGATCCTCCCTTCCAGCTTATTGGTTAACCTGGGTCACGTGGCCACACTCCCTACTGGGAGGGTCCCACGTGGCCCCGGCTTTCAGGGGAGACAGGCATGCGCACTCACAGGAGGCAGAGTGGCGGCCAAAGCAGAGGAGGGCACAGCCTCGGGCGGCAGGAGGCGGTGAGTCAGGTGAGGGCCTCTGCAGCACCTGCGTCTGCTCAGGCCCTGCAGGTGCATCCCGACGTGGGGACACTCCTCGGGGCTGAGGCTGCGGCCGCAGCCTGTCTGGGGAGGGCTCCGGCAGATCCTTCGTAAAGGCAGGAAGCATGCTTTGCTTCTCCCCGGCCTGGGCGCCTGGGCTGGGCCAGTTCCCATCCCGTCGTCCCTGCAGGATCTGCTTGGAGCACTGTCCGCCGTCCGGGACGCACCCACATCCGACAGCTTATCTCGAAGCTGGGAACTTCCCCTGGGCCGCCTGCCCGGAGTGGCCACAGAGATACCGGCCTGGGGCGGGGGCTTCTGCCCCCGGCCGCAGCTGACAGCGAGGGACCAAAAGGCTGCCGGCGGTGGGTGTCGGCTGTGCCCCCCGCCTCCCGCCTGCTCTGCCTGCCCTGGATTTACCTCCCTGCGCCATGGCAGCGCCGTTAGCACCAAGGAACCCAGGCACGGCATTGACGCCCTCCTCAAGACACTTCCCTGAAATCTGGTTGTGCACACTGCAGCACGAGGCCCTTCCTGGGGCACCATGGTCCGCCTGCCCACCACGGTGGTGGGTGCCGTTGGGCTGTCACACCTGCAGCCTGGGTTGGCCGCATCAGCCTCGAGTCTAACCGAACCCACAAGTATTAGGCCAGGCCCATCTGTCGGCCAGCGAGGAGCGCAGATGGGCCCTACTCGGCCGGCACCTGCTGCCCGATTTGCCCCCCACCCCAGGCACTTCCAGAAAGGGCTGGCTCCTTCCCTTGCCAACTGGGAGGGTGCGACCAGGCTTGGGGGCAGACCCCGAGAACCTCGCCCACCAGCTGGGGCAGAGACCCCAAAGCCTGCTGGGCCCCATTGCATGAGCCTGGCCCAGCGACAGCTCTGATGGGGGTGCAGGACCGCCTGGCCTTCCCTGGCGTGTCCTGCGCCTAGGGCACGGCCCTCCCTCTGGCCTTCAGAGCTGGCTCAGAGTGACAGCTGGGGCTGCATGTGCAGTCGCACCCAGGCCGTGTCTGTCTCTGCAGGATGCGGATGGTTCCCCTCCTTTCCAGGGACTGGGCGAGAGTGGGGCCCAGGAGCAGTCGCAGGCGGGCCGGATGGGGCAGGAGCTGGGCTGCTTGGGTACACGTGAACCATGCTGAGCTGCTCCCCCAGAGCTGGCCCTGCCCTCCTTCCGCTGAGGGACCCCCCCACCCCCAAGCACCTGTGCACGTGACAGCCTGTCATCACTGCCTGTTTAGTTCCAGGGACAGCTAGGGTGGCCCCAGGACCAGGGGTCGCCATGGCTGGGCAAGAAGCAGGGCCTGCCCAGAGGGGGACCGAGCAGTCTCTGGAGCAGAGCCCGGCCCTGCTGGACGGAGCTGAGCACGGCCAGGCTGTGGGGCCTGTGGGGCCGCCCCGTCTTCCTCCCTCCGTTCCCATCTGGGCACTCAACATGGGGACCAGCCATGCCTGTGTCTTTAAGGCATTTTCTCCCTCGGTCCTTCCACTGGGTAGACCTGGTGACCAAGACAGGGCTGCAGTGGGGGCCCGCTGTCACTCAACGAGCAAGTCAGACCCCGGCCCTGCAGCTGAGCAACAGGGTCAGGTGCCCCAAGCCTCTTGTGGGTCCCAGGTCCCCACCCAGCTAGGGCACTGGGCTGCCCCCGGAGGCTGCAGTGCCCCATGAAGTGGGTGTGAAGAAGCCGACCTGCTGGCTGCTCCACAGCAGTACCCGGCTCCGCCCCAGCCCAGCCGTGCCACCCACAGCAGCAGCGCCTCCCACCCCCGAGGGACCCCGTGCCCGCGGGCCGTCGTGGCCCTGCACTTGCGGCCGCCATGCGCCTGCCTCATCTATGGAGCTGTTTCCGGAACCATCCGGAGGGGACGCACACACCTGCAGGGGTAGGGCCAGGGCCCCATGGTCACGTGCCCACCAGGGTCAGGGAGAGCTCGGCCGGCCCGGCAGGCAGAGCTGCACGACGGCCAGGCCCCGGCTCTTCCCTGCACTGGTGTCGCTGCAGCGGTGGGAGGAGCGGGGCTGGCCGTGGCGAGTGGCA